AAGAAATTGGATTGAAAAAAAAATCGATTTAATTAGATGATTGAAAGTCAAATCTGAGAATTAAGGTCTCCACAATGATGAAAATGTCGAGGAGATAAACTAATAAGCGTGTCACTAATCTAATGCTGCAGGTTACAATTTAATCACTTTAATTGTAAATTAATTATTTTCCTAGACTTTTACCAGAATTTTCCAATGAGCGGGCGGCTAGAACTGTTGTCAGCGATTTGTGTTGTCGAGAGGGAACGAAAGAAGCTATTTATCGCCTCTGATAGAAGTCCTATAATCATGCAAAACTCGTTTTTAGTTACTAACAATAATAAAACATATTTTTTAGATAAAATTACTTAGAATTTTCTCGATGGATACGCAAAAAAAAATCAGTTACTCATTAGAAGACCGAACAAACGTCGAATGACAGTCATTTGTCTCGGATTGGTTGACCGGAAATTGTCTAAACTTGACTGACGGATGGGCGTAATGGACAGAGATACTCTATTATAAGGAGTTTGACATTTAAGAGGTTCCGAAGAAAAAAAACATTTCAACAGAAAACTTCGGTCTACAAATATTTATAACGTCTTGTTTTGAACGGGAAGGCTATTTTTTCATATCAGTTTCATCATGTGCTAAAAAACTAGCCAACCGAAAAGAATCGTCATAAAATTTCAGATTGAAAAATCACTCAATTCTGAGTTAACATGGTGCAATTCCCCTATTGTCTGCAACGGAAAGCGAAAATGCTGATAAACTATTCTAAAACGCACTGATAAACGAGGAATAACAGGCCTTCAGTACAATTCTGAACTTAGCAGCATATACAGTTTGTTGAAGTTATATACAATCAGGAATGAAACCACATGTCACAAAACTATCGGTTGTAGCTCATGTTGTAGCCAAAACCTTGAAATGCTCGATTTTGGTGCCTATACGCTGGCCCCATTTCCTTCAAACATTAGTGAAGGAATCAGTATAGAGAATTCAAACGAGGACGGTAGTTAAATCATTTTTCGTTATTTGAAATAATTCTTAAATCTCTCAAAAGGATTTATTATAGCATACCAATTGTTCATTCAAAATAATTATAGATGACAATATGTATACAAAGGAGTTGGCAATTCGATTATAGTAATGAGTATTTAGTGAACACATTGGGTAATTTTACTTAATGGTTTTTTAATGCACAAAAACGACCATCCCAATTAAATTTGTATAATGGGCTTAGGGTCCCCTAATACAGAATCGAGAGTCAAACAAAACGCCTCAAAAAAAACACACTATTCTCCATAATACGTCTTCCACAATTTTCTTGACGTTAGTACACATAAATAAAAAAATAGTCTACACAAAATTTCAATGATCGCTGACTTTTTGATACAAAAGTTAAATGGTTCAATTAACTATACATTTTGTCTTTGCCTTTAGTAGTCAAATCGATAAAATGTTCTATCACAAAGACTCTTTTTGAGTGAAAAAATTGCTACATCGAGCTTGCACGAGTGAAACGCCGCTCTCTCTGAGTAGCACAGGCTGAAATAGTGATGTACAGAAACGCATTAGTTCTAAGGAACGCCGGCTGGACCGCGCGTGGCACGTGGTACGGCGTAACGTACAACAGAGGCCGCGCGCCATACACTTCTTTATCCTGGAATCGTCTCGGTTTCCGAGTAGCCTCCTGATAGCCACTGTTGCTCCCTTGTTACCACATCCCTTCTTCCTGCACCGCGCTAGGCTAGTATCTTTGGGTTTATATCTGACATAAAAGCTGTTGTCGTAAAAACAAAAAAAATAAAAATACATTCTTGATATTTCTATTAACCATGTGAGGGACATCGCAATAAACATTGATTCGCCACGCGGAAAAACGTGGGAGAAACATTGGAAGACATGTGCAGGAATTATCTTGCGCACTGTTTTCTGAGCCCTCGTTTCCGCTAGTAGAGTGGGGAAGATAGGATATCTGTTGACCAAAAATGATTTCTTTCTCACTCATTTTTTCGTTTTTCCGGGGAAAAATCAGTTATTATTCGCGAGCGATTTTTCTAGTTACACATTTTTCTACAAGCACTCGTTTCCTTATTTATCCTTTGTTCCACCAATGTTGGCAAACGGAGTGCGAGGGTAGATCACTACCAAGGCGCACGAAAAAAGTAGCCGTATAATACACACATGGGACAACACTTCGGAAACGTGTGAGAAGTTTGTGTTGGGAAATCGCTGCCAAAGCCCATGTCGTGGTTGATCCTGCGGGGGGAACATCTTTTCATATTTATTCTTAAATTCTATGTACACTTTGATCACCTACTGCCTACTTTACCAGTCATAGACATACTACAAATTCCATACTACAATTTATCTGTCAGTGCACGTGACACATCATAAGCTGTTGAGGTTTCATCACTACCGGAGCTTATATGTCGCTACAGTGACGCACTATGGGATGATTCCAAGCTTCCAGTGGATGAAACCATGAAACAGGTATTTACTTCAAATACAGGTTAAATAATCCAAGAATAATTTAATCTCTTTTGTTCCACAGCATCGTAACTTATTTCTACACACCGAACACTATTTACATTATTTACACTGTGCAGCACACTACCATAAGCTTAACAGACACGTAAAAACGCATAGCGAGGAAATTGAGAGTTTAGGATTGCGGAGGAAAACAGATGGGAAAATGTTGGTAAGCCTGCAGTCGAAAACATGCGCGAAGAACGGTGGGACATGGCGCAAAAAAAAACAAAACATTTCCCAAGGGTAACAGTGGAGAAGTGCGGACAAACCATGGGCATAGCGGGTTTACATGCATTGGACATGACGGATCATACCCGGAAATGCAGGGAAAACGCACCAGGAAAGCATGAGAGGGCAGTTGTGACCGAACTTGGGCTTCGCTGTTGTATAAACAGTAGGAATCGAGAAAATATTACTGTCTGTACTCTTCCCAAGAAAGCTGGCGATTTGATTATCATGTCATATTTTATTAAATTCATGGCTCCTGAAGATGTGTGTGTTTGCCTCGTAATAACACTTCGAAACCGTAGTCATTACTGTTCAGCCCACGCACTGTACCATGACAATATCGCTCTAACACACAACTGCAGTCATTTGATTACCAGTTCTGTAGCAAATTCTTATCAGTTAAAAAAAAAGATTCTTACAAACGTGATGTAAATTTTTGGCATTCAACTAATTATAATGAATTAATAAAATATGAATGAAAACCAAACGTAATTCGTCCGTTTCTCATTCCTTCGTCTAGCAATCAAGAACCACACTTTGCTGTTCCACGACCCAAACAAATTGGCAACAGTCGGTCTCCATTTGCAGAACAGTAAGTGATCAGCTGCAATAGAGAGAATGCATTGCAACTGCAGGTGGCAGTCGCATGCGTCAGACTGTGTCTCTCGCGGCGTGTCCACCACGCCGAGTGAAAGGACGTATTCCGGTGAGAAGTCAAGAAAATGTAGTTTGCATAAACTTTCTATCTGTTGATCTCGCAAATATGGAGCATGCGCATTTGCGTTATTCTACTGCGATCAGAAATTAAATGATTGGCACTTGGTCGCGTGCCAATCTTCCTCTCCAACGGACAACTGCACGCAATCGTTCAACAAGAGAGATAGAACCACGCTCTCTTCGTGTGTTCGTATCCTCCAAGGGTAAACAAAGGTCGTACGCTTTGACATCTTTAAAACACTCTCCCTGTTCAACACTTCACCGGAAAAGATGCCTGTGAAAATGAAGTCACAAGAATTTGAAAACTCGGCCTCACAAATAGGAACTTGTAAAGACCGAAAGGGTATTAAGGTCAAAAAACATGACTATTTTTTCAAAATAATATGCTAATCGTGCGATTTTTAAAATTATAGTTTTTTAAAAATTTATTTTATTTATTTGTGTTAAACGTGTTACTTTCATCGTTTCAAATATTTATAGTTAAATGACGGGAAAGGATTTTGGAAACTTCAAGGAAAACGCTGCGCAGAATAATCTTCTCCCCCTACGTTACACATTACCAGTTTATTACTTTTTTTTTTTTTTTTTTGGACTGGTTAAAATCTAATCTAAAACCTAATTATTGGGCTGTTGCCTAAGAAGTGCAGAACAAATTTCATCTTTTGTGAAGTTAACTCTATTAGATTCATTTACTGCAATTTTTTTGAAATTATATTGAAAAGAAATTTACATCGTTAAGGTCCCAATTTTTACGAGCAAAAACTGCTTTCAATCCGCAGTTTTACAAAAAACCACTGTTCATCCGTAGGTCTTTATTTTTCACGCAAAGATTATTTTTTATTATTAACGAAAATTGTTTAAAAGCCACAATGAAAAATCAAATTTTACCCTTTTTTTTTAAAACAAAAAAAAAACGCCTTATTTAATATTTGTTAAAAAAAAAAAAAATCTTGGCGGATTAGGATCCTTTATCTAAGGGAAATTTTTTATTTTATTTTTCATTAAAAAAAAAAAAAAACTTGAAAATAAAAAAAAAAACCCCAATAAAATTTAACCCTTTTTTTTATTGAGGAAATTTCCTCCTTCCCCTTTGCGC